GGAAGGGAAGGACAGAAGCTCCCACGGTGCTGATTCTGCTCCCTTCTGCGGTCCACATGGTGCAGTGGATGGTTAACAGGAACCAGAGCTGGTACCACTTTGCAGAGGAGGGAGAGAGAGAGAGCGAGCAAGTGAGAGACAAAGACAGAGACAGACAGACAGACACATTCAGAGGAACTGTTTGCCTCTTCAAACTGGTGTACTTGATTTTGTCCACCTGTGCACCCATATCTGGTTGCCCACCCATGCCTGTAGGTCATTTCTGATCCCCGAGTCCCCCCCAGGCATGGCGGAAGCGCAGAGCTCAGGGCTCTGGCACATGTGTTTTGGCTTCAAGTTAAGATAGTGCCAGCCATGGGGCCCCATCCCTGTAATCCCCAGCACTCTGGAGGCAGAGGCAGGAGGATTGCTGTAAGTTCAAGGCCAGCCTGAGCTACATAGTGAGACCCTGCCTCAAAAAAAACACAAAGAAAGAAAAAGAATGCGCAGGATTTGAAAATAGCTTCAGTTAGTTTACTGTGGGATTTTCAAAGACTTGCATTTACTAAACAGATAGAAACTCCAGCACCAGGCGGGTAATCAGAGCAACATGTCTTGGGGTGTGATTTGGGCTTTTCCTCTCCGTTCCCTGAGCGTGGAGCCCTTTTCCCACAGCACCCCGAGACCCTAAGATTTGTTTTAAATCGAAATTAGAATGTCTACGTGTTCAGACTAGGCCTATTAGAAAAATCACACTGATAGAATTCTTCCTTGCCCTTGAAACATTGCTCGGAAAATCGTTTCTCTAAATTGGCTTTGCAGTCTTTACAAATATTCTAAGCACTGCAAAGCTGGGCTTTGGCCCACCACAGAGCTTTCCCTGTCCTTGTTATCCTCAGAGAAAGTTTTGGTTTTTTTAAAAAAAATTTGTGGTGCTGAGGATTAAACCCAGAGCCCTCCCACTTAACTACATGCCCAGTACTTTTTATTGTTTATGTTTTTTATTTTTGAGACAAGGTTTCTCTATGCAGTCCAGGCTGGCCTTGAACTCAATGAGATCCTCCTGCCTCAGCCTCCCAAATGCTAAGAATAACACACTGGAACAAACCGGCCCTGCTGTGGGTCCCAAGTGTCAACCACAGAGCAGCTAGCTGGGTGCTGGCTCCACAGCAGGCAGGAGGAGGGGCTGTGAGGAGCAGGAAGGGAGGGAGGAGGAGCTGGGATGGGAGGGGGTTTCTCCGCAGGAACTCACAGTGTCCTGCAGCAGTGGGCAGGCTGAGGCCAGAGGGTTGCAAGCGTGTGTTCTGCTCCATGTAAGGATGGTGCCCCGGGGTCCCCGATATTTTGCAGAGCCAGGGGCTGCATGGGATGGGAAAGAAGCATGTGAGATGGGGTGGAGGAAAGGCGAGGGGGCTGCTGCTGGAGGAGCTGAGTTAGGAGAGAAGGCCAGCAGAGGGGGCGTCCCCAGCCTGCTGCTCCCTCTCCTGATGGCCCTTGTAGGTCTGCGGCAGGAAGTCACAGTGGAGTTTTGTTCTAAACGTGCTGGGCTGGAGGGGCTGTCATTCTTCCAGTTCACCCTGTCTTGCAGGAAAGGATAGAAATTCTCTGAGCGCCTCTGGGCACCTTCCCCTCCCCTCCTCTTCTCTTCCCTTCCTTTCCACTCCTGTCTCTGTCTCTTTCTCTCGTCAAGCTACAGATGGAACCCCAGACCTTCACATAGAGTTTCATTGCAAGCTTATTTTATTTTATTTGAGACAGGGCCTCACTGAGTCATTAAGTTGTCCAGGCTGGGTTTGAATTTATGATCCTCCTGCCTCAGCCTCCCAGAGTCCTGGGATTACAGTCGTTTACCATCACACCAGGTTCTGGAAGCCCTTGTTCTTCAGGGTCTGTACCAGGTGCTATTAAAAAATACAGTGAGTGCTGCTGTCCAGTGCCATCCAGTGGAGAGGCAGTTCCTGAAACAGGATGCTGTGTCCCTGGCCACCTAGGTCACCGGATCTGGTACCATGTAACTCCTGGCTCCTCCCCTAAGTCACAGTGACCATAGAAGGGCAACGTTTTGAATCCACTCAGGACATGGAGGCAGCCAGGACAGTGCAGCTGAAGACCTCAGGAGAGAGGACTCCAGAGCTGCTGCAGGAAGTGGCCCGATGGTGGGACACGTGTGTGTAAAGCCAGGGGGCTGCTCGAAGTTCCTGGCAAAGCTTCTACTCTGATAGTTTTTACGAAGTTTAATCACGCGTACTGATCACACTGCATTTGCCATTCAGGAGTGAGACCTCCTATGTTCACCTGGCCTGGTTTCCTGCTGAGCTTCAGGGACAGAGAGGCAGGCTGCATGCCCTGAGGCTGACGCCTGGAGTCCTGGGTGTGAATCCTGCCAGAGGCCACTCTGGTCACAGCCAGGGTGCAGCCGCAGGGGTACAGGCAGTGCTGTCCCTCCACTGCTTCTGTGTGGTCAGGGCCACGGGAGCCCGGGTGCTCTGTGGGCGCGGGTCCTCCTTTGCCTGTCCACGTCAAGGTCGTGACCCTCAATGCTGTGGAAAACAGCCCGGACACAGAGCTAGTCCACAAAGCCAGGTGCTCAGGTAGACACATGAACCCCAGCTTAGTCCATGACCCCTCTGTGTGGTCATGCGTGGTCCCTACTTGCATTGGTGACAAACCTGTAGAAAGGCAAAAGCGGGACTTGCGTCTACCTGGCTCCAGCTCCATCGGAGTGGGAATCGGTGTTGTAACCTCACACAGTCAGCTGGGGAAGGAATAATAAGGCCAGTCTGTAAACACGGCTCCAGAGGGGCTGGAGGGGATCACCCCACCCCAGGGGGACCTGGAGACCCCAGGATCCCCAGTGCAGGGTGGCTGACCTGAGGGCCAGGGGAGGGTGCCAAGCAGGCCCTGCAGGGAAAGCCCGACTCTGCCTCCCGTGGAGGGGGCACCTGCTCCACTCCCAGGGTGAGTCCTGTTGGCAGTGGCTTCTCCAGGTGCCTCGGTGTCCCTCCACTGCCGTTTCCTGGCCCTCTGCAGCGTGGGCAGCAGACAGGGGCATCTGAGCCAGGGCTCGGGGCGGGGTGCACACGTCCATCAGTGCCCATGTGCAGCGTGCAGTGACCACGCCCGTCCTGCTTTTCTCCTCCCCTTCCCCACTCCCCATGCCCTCCCCTCATTTCTGGGTCTTTTTCCCCATAGCAAATAATTTACCTCCCCGTGTCTTGTCATCGATTTTTGATTTAGCTCTTCACCTATACTTATGTTTTTCCTATAACAAAAACCATGTGATATTTAAACTCCTGTGTCAGATTTATTTCACCTGAAATTTTGGTCTCAAGTCCTGTGCATGTTCCTATAAATGACTCAAGCTTAACCTTCTTGGTGGCAGCGGGGGAGGGGGGGAGGCTCCATTGCATATAAACACCATATTTTCTTTATCCATTCATCTATTTTTGTTTTGTTTTTGTTTTTTGAGACAAAGTCTCTCTTTATGTCCAGGCTGGCCTCAAATTTGCAGAAATCATCCTGCCTCAGCCTCCTGCATGCTGGTTTATAGGAATGGGTCACCATGCTTGGTTTTTCTGTTATTTATTTAACACCCTAAAATGTAAATACGTGGGAATGTTTCCTTCTGTTTTTTTGCTTAATGAGAGGACTGAACACACACATGTGCCTGTGTACACGCATTCCTGAGCAGGTGACTCCTGTACGAGACCTTGTGCTTGCATTCACTAAGCTGGGTAAGCCAACAATAGCCATCCGAATGGTCCCTGTGCCCACATCTGGCTGGAGCCTCCAGTGGCCCAGGGCAGCACACAGAGTAGCCAGGCACTGCTGGGAGACAGCGATGGCATCTGTGGTCCCCTGCCCATTCCAATGGCCGCCACCCACATCTCCATGATGCAGTCCTCCCAGTGACCCCCCTCAGGCACCTGCCCACTGCCCATCTCTTAATGAAGTCCCTTAAATGCCAGGGGACTGGAGACGCTCACTTGGTGCCTGTGGGCACAGAGTCACAGGGACCTGCAGGACTCTGCGTGTGCAGGCCTGGGACCTGGGTGGGGGTTACTGGGGGGTGGGATTGGGCTGCTGTGCCCCAGGCCTTTCAAGATTGCATTTTGCTTTCATTCTCTCCGCCCTCTTCGGATCCCGATGCTCTCTGACATTTCCTGTCCTTTGAACCTGAGTCTCTTTGCTGACGAAGTGTGCCCTCTAGGAAGTTTTCTTAGAGTCCAGCCCAGGTGCCAGGAGGGCAGGACAGATATGCCAGCCCCACATGAGACCCACAGATGCCCTACTCGGGGATACAGGGACATCCGGGTGCCAACCCCGAGCTACTGCATGTCAGAGGGCCTGGCTGGCCGCCAAGGACTCAGTGCCAGCACCTTTTGTGTCCTCGGCAGCTGTTGTGGGAGTCAGTGTGGAGACTCCTCAGAGAAATAAAGCCAGAAATCCCATCCCACCCAGCTGATTGCCCAACAGGTAGCATCTTCCTGAGAGAGCTAAAGACATCCATGGATGATGGCCATGCACACCTATGCTCACAGCAGCACAACTCACCATAGCTAAATCCTGGAAGCAGCCTGTGTGTCTGTCCATCAACAGATAAATGGGTAAAGAAAGTGTGATACCACATACCATGGAGTACTACTCTGCTATCAAGAAGGATAAACTTAAGCCATTTGTAGGAAATGGATGTACTCTGAGAACATAATGTTAAGTGAAATAAATCAAACATTCAAGCTTAAATATCACATGGGTTTTCTTATGAAAAACCCAAATAAGGAGCAAATGAAAGATAGCAGAAGCCAGGCATGGGGATACATGCCTGTAATTCCAGCACTCAGGAGGCTGAGGCAGGAGGATCATTGCAACCTGTATTGCATAGCAAGACCCTGTCTCAAAAAATGAAGATAACAGGACATAGTGATAGGTCTTTCTCAGATAGGAAGGGAATCTAGAGATGGAGGGAGGTGGGGAGGAGAGGGAAAGGATACAGAAGACGAATTAAGCTGTGCTCCCTCCAGGTACCTACTTCCCACAAGGACCATGAGCATTACTACTGCAAATGTGACTGCTAAATACAAAAAAAGATGAAGACAAAAGAACTTCACCCACTGGGGTTCCTTCAGGTAACTCACGAGGACGCGCTTTGTGGTAGATGCAAATGTGGTAAATCGGTTACTGACGGTTGGATTGAGGGGAAATTTTGACCTTATCCACTAACTCAACAAATGCTTCCACTTCAATTTCAGAATGATTGTTCTGGTTTCTATGGTAACAACATGCAACAGGAGGTGCAGGCTGAGGCAGGAGAGTGTCCTTGGCTGGCATCTCTCCTGTGTCAAGGGCCTGTGCCCTGCTCATTGTTAATGTCCTGTTAGTGGGCACTGGATGGATACCCAAGGACACTTTTGTAGACACCAGGAATGAATCCATGAATGGATAGTATCAGCCTCGGCCAGGAATGAAGTGGCCCTGCTCTGTCTTCCTGGGCCGGAGCTTCCCTCAGACCCTGAATGGGAGGAGAACCACACTCCGCATCCATTGACTGTGTCCCCCTGGGCCATTCAGCTGGGGTCCGAGTCCCTCACCGTGGGTCTGTTCTCATGGTGCCCAGGCGTGGGGGTTACAGCTCTGGGCCATGGTAGGAATTTCAGATCAGCTCAAGGTCATGTGCTGGGGCAGGGAAGTAGAGCCAGGCATGGAGATGCATGCTTAGAATCCCAGCTTTCTAGGAGGCTGACGCAGGAAGATTGCAAGTTCAATCCTAGCCTGGGCAACTTAGTGACTTTGGGGACCCCGTCTCAAAATAAATAATTTAAAATGAACTGGGGCTGGAGCTCAGGACAAAGCATGGTAGTTTGGTTCTGACTCTGACCTTCACTCAAAACCTGACCTTGCCCATGGATTTACCTGTCTGGGCCTTTCTTATTTATAAACTAATATGGGGCGGTGTGAGCCTTCAGTACTCGGGAGGCTGAGGCAGGAGAGTCACCATGAATTCAAGGCCAACCTGGGCTACACAGCGAGACTCTATCAAAAAAACAACCCAAAAATGATGCAAATAAGCTGCTTCATTAGTTAGAAAGAACTCATGGAAGCAAAGAACCACTCGCAGCTCGCACTGTCTACTCACACCTCAGTTTAGGACGGAAGAGCAACGCACCGCGGAGACCCGCACTGTGCGGATGTGAAACGTGTCCGCCCAATTGCCGTCCAGATTAATGGAAGAATTTAGAAAGCCAGGTTTTGTCCGTGTAAAATAGAACAGCAGCTTTAAGAAGGTATCTGACTAGGAGCTTTCCTCAGCTCGCTTTAAGGCCATCTCACTCACTGTTCCACAGCAGGGTTGTGTATTAGAACAGCCCGAGAAACTTTAAAAAGACTCTGGTGGTGAGATTGCCTCTCAGGTGCTTCCCTGCATCCTCAGGGCTGGGACCCGGGCCTCGATGGCTCGTAAACATCCCTAGCTGAGTGCAGTGCACAGCCACTAGCATCTTTACCTGGGCTGCGATGCTCGTGGAGACCTGGACAGCGCGAGTTACTGGAGGAGACTGGTCCCAACATGGCAGCAATTTAAAAATGGATCCTTTGGAAAAATTCCTTCAGTTAATAATTTAAAAGCTTAGGTATAGTAAGAGCGAAAACTATACTGCAAGTCCATTGTGTCGTTCTGAATTCTCTTTTGTTTGTTTTCGAGACAGGGTCTCTCTTTGCAATTTGGGCTGGACTCAGACTCTCATTGATCCTCCTGCCTCAGCCTCCCGAGTGCTGGGATTGCAGGTGTGCACCACCATGCTTTGAATTCTTTACTAAGAAAAGCTATCCTCTCACATGGAATTTAGTGGTTTCTTCTCGCCCTAACCTAGCTATTCCTGAGCTCAGTAAAGCAATAGAGGATGGAAGGAGGTGCGACCTGCAGGCTGGAAGCTGGGCTGGGATAGCACAGGTGCAGCTGGACCCGCTCTTTTCCTGCCCACCCCTGAGAATTCAGTTCTTTCTCAGCAGAAAGGAATTCATAAATCCCTGCCCTGCCTTCCCACCAGCAGTGTGACCTCACCAGGGTGATAAATTGCTGTTATCAAAACAGACCCTGTGCCTCCCAGGCAGTGAAAGGTCTAAAGGCAAAGTGTGAAGTCTACGTGCTGATGAGCACAGCCAGGGTGAAAAGTCCAGCTCTTGGGACCTCAGATCTTAGGGGAGGGGATTCTTCAAACCTTTCTGACTGTGCAGAGGTGCAGAAGTGCAGATGAAAGGGTGACAGCGTGACACCATCAAGAGCAAACGCCTAATAATGGTAACCATTTTTGATCACCTGGTACTCTGTTTTTGCATCATGTACTGTGTCCATCCTTCTGTTCTAACTGACTCTGTTTTGCTGTGTCACATTTGGTTTTTTTCTCTTCAAAAAAAAAAAAAAAGCTGTAAGAACTGTGGGAGTAATAAAACCCCAAAAGTATAATTGTTATTGTAAAAAGAGAGGAAAAGAAAGTGATCTAAAGGATATAACCGCATGTATATTTAAGTGTGTAGGATAGAAAACCATATTACTGAGTTTTTGTTGTATCATTGAACAGAACCGTCTGCAATCTCACTGTATGAACGTCCACTTTGTATGCTTTAACATTGTAATTTGGACAACTGTTTCTAAGATGACAATATGTAATCTATTAACTAGTGATTTCTTACTGTATATTTTTTTCTTGAAATTCTGTATTACTTGTATCCTTTTACTGCTTTGTTTTTCTTTCTTTCTTTCTCTCTTTAAATTAAAAAAAAAAAAAAAAGAGCAAACACCTAGGGTGAGGTGGCCCTGCAGGCGTTTGCAGCAGAGGCAGAAGTGTGCTTATCTTTCAGTCTCTCTGGTGCAGCGGCCACACCGGAGGGTGGGGAAGTCAGCCCAGCCGTCTGAGAGGTGATTTCCTCCCTGGCCTGGAGCCCTCCCAGCAGACACAACCTTGTCCCTTGCCGAAACCCAAGGTCCTGGCGAAATACAGTGTTCTGTAGGTTTATTTACTTACTCTTTTATTTATTTTTTTGGTCTTTGAGACAGGGCCTGGCTATGCAGTGTTGGCCTCGAACTTGCAGCAATCCTCCTGCTTCAGCCTCCCCAGTGCTGGTTTACAGCGTGCACTGCCACACCCTCCTGAAACTGGTGCTCCTTCTGCAGATGAGGAATTGGCTCGCAGTGCTTAGGTGACCGGCTGAAAGGCAGGTCACATCCTCCTCATGACCCTCCCAGCCGAGGTGGCCACATGGCCAGGGTGGCAATGATCCTGGCTCTTGTCTGATCTTGCAGTCCTTCAAATGACCTTCCGGCCGTTTCTAGTACCTGGACGAAAACCCTTGCGGCTAAGAATGTGCGTGTGTTTCAGTCTCGATTTTCTTTAGATTACATCCTCAGCGGTAGAATCACCGGGTCACAGGCTGTATTCGCTTTTGCAGCTGTGCTATTCAGAAGGAGAGCAGGGGACCAAAGGAGGCAGACGTGCCGAGAAAGTGAGTCACCCAAAGACAGGCAGGGCTCTTCCCGGAGCAGCGGGCCTGCTCCGGGAGCCCAGGGACACTCGGCTTGTGCACTGCGTGGCTGTGCCGTGCAGAGCTGCCGATGCTAAACACTGGTTTTTCACTTCCCTTGAGTGAAAAAAAAAATGTGCGTGCCTTGATTGTCTCCTTCTGCTGAGCCAGTGCCAAATTTTTCTATGTGAAAAAAATGTCAGCTGAAATTCCGGTGCCGCCGAGGAAGGAGACCTTTATTCCTCCACCTGCACATTACGACGCTAATAAACACGTTATCAGCTCGTAAGGGTGATGGCAAACAGGTGACTGAAGGACTCGGCAAGTCAGCAGTGAAGACGAACAGCTCTGCGCAGGGAAAGCCGTGCGGGCCCCACTTAAAACAATCGCGGCAGGCGAATTTGCAGCACTTAAATCATTTTCAGCAATTAGTCCGCCTCAGAAAGGGTGCAGCTGGCTTCAATTACAGGTAAGGTTTTTATCATTTGAACTTTAGTCGTGCGGCTGAGGAGGAGAAGGCGGAGGGACCCTTGTGGGGAGGGAGATTCGCCATCCGAGCAAAACTTCCGCAGGGCTTCATCATTTTTCTAGAAAAATCTCCGTAAATTTCACCCTCCCACTGTTTCCTTTGCTAACAGAAAAATTACCCCTGATTAAAACATTTAAAATTACAAAAACATTACATGCACATTATATATGAAAATACCTACATATGTATGTATAAAATCTAAGCAGCCGAGATGGCTACAGAATGAAAACAAATCTTTCCATAGGTTCTCATCCTCTGTCTTCCAAGCCCCAAAGATAAACACACTTGTGTTTAATTTTTCTAGAAATTTCATATATGGAGTTACTTTTACTGCATAGCTTTGGCTAATCAACTTTTGGACTGTGTGTGGACACGTGAGTGTGTGCATGCGTGCGTGCGTGAGAACTCTGCCCTAGGAAGGATAAAGTCTATAGACTCACCTCACCCTGCCTTCTCCCTCTGGGGAGTTGGTTATTGCTGATTATGTATTTTTAAAGTTTCTCTGTAGCTTCACTGCTTAAAGCATATGCTTATTATTTTTTGATCCACTGTATTTATTTGCTTATTCTTTTGCTCCTTTTTTTCTTTTTTGAGACACAGTCTCACTCTGTAGCTCAGGCTATCCTCAAACTCACAGTGATTGGCCTGCCTCAGCCTCCCTAATGCTGGGTTAGACCTTAGAATGGAGAGGAGATCTTTCCTGGGTCCCATGGACCTCTGTGTCCATGAAACTTCCTCTGGCCAGAGGCAGAGGAGACCCAGGAAGAACTCAGAGCTGCAGAGCACAGGCTGCACAGGGGACTTGCTTGTCCTTACAGTCTGGGGGCAGGGAAGCAGTAGACAGGGACCTTGTCCTGTGGGAGCAGCTCCACGACATGGGCTGAGGCTCCCAGATGTGGGACCTGTGAGACATAGACAGGACAATGGATGCGAAGCTGCCAAGGTGGCAGGCATCTGCTGTGGCAGCCGTAGACAGGACACAGCCTTTGCCTGGCTTCTGTTCCCTGATCCCCTGGACATCCTCGTCCTGTCCCCAGTCACTCTGTGTCCTGGGCCTGCGGGGCCACTCCGTGTCCTCACTTTGTGTCCCAGGCTGCAGGGAAGCCCTCCCTCCAGATGCCCCTTGTCCTCACCCGTCCATGCAGGGTACCTGGCTTGTCCATCTGGTCCTGTGCCCTCCCCTCTTGGAGGTTGTGGTCCATTTCCCAGGGGTGGAGAGCTCACCCCAGAGCTGAGCCTGGGGGACAGGCGTGTGCAGGGGAAATGTGTGTGCAGAAGGGGGGTCAGTGCCCCTGCCCTGGGAGCTGTGGTGGTCCTCATGGCTCCAGCCACACACCCCCCAGAGCCCTCACGCCCTCCGGCCTTGTGGATTCTTTTTGTCCTCTGTTTCATTGTGGTGCTGGATACAGAAGCCAAGGCCCTTGTGCTAAACTCTGCTCCCACCCAATTCCTGGTTATTTTGTGTTTTGAGGTGTGTATGGGGGGTCTTGCTAAGTAGCTAAGTTGCCCAGGTTGTGATGATGGAGCGCTGTGCTCGTCGGTGGGCTCATCATGGGTGAGTTCAGGGCTCAGTGTGTAGGAAGAGGGGCTTGGCTGGAGGAGGTCCCTGGGTGGGGCCTGGAAGAGCCCATTCTTGTCCATGTCTTCCTTTTTCTCTCCGTTTCCTGGGCACCATGATGTGAGCAGCTCCCCTTCACCAACCCCTTCTGCCATCTTGTTCCTGCCTTGGAGCAGCTGACCATGAACTGAGCACTCTGAAGCCACAAGCCAAACGAAACCTCTCCTTTCATCTGTAGGTTTTGTTCTGGCAACGAGAAAGTAACTAAGGCAAGAAGGTTAGTATTTAAAAAGTGTGTTGAACAACCAAACTGTAAGTGAACCAAATGGAATCCAGGCTTGAATACATTTCCCTGAGTCTCAGGAGTTGTTAGTGTGTAGCCTGGCAGGGGCATACATTTCCGCTATTAAAAAAATCTCATTATGGAAAACTCAGAATGTAGCATTTCCTTAAGGCAGGAAATCACAGGGCAGCGTGAAGCCCTAGTGGCGGGCGGTGGGTTTTCTTTATGCAAAAGTCAGTGTATATAGTAATTAATCTTTTGTTTACTTGAAACTTTCACATTCAGAATGTTTCATTTTCACATCCACACTCCCTGCTCTTTTGTGCTCTAAGTGGTGCTGTATTTCTATTTACTCAGCTTAAATGCAACTCTGGAAAACTGCTTTTCTCTCTTTTTTTCCTACCAAGTGCTTGTGACAAAGTTTTTCTTTCCCCCTGGTTCTCACCTGCTGTTGCTTTCTTTTGGACCTCGGCCCTTGATCAGGACACCATGGAGATGCAGTCCACTCAGGGTCCTTACTGGCAGCCAAGGGTGGTAGTGGACGTGTGTAATTCTAGAAGTCTGGGAGGCTGAGGCAGGAGAATTACAAGTTCAAGCCTAGCCTGGGAAACTCAGTAACTTAACTAGACCCTGCCTCAAAATGCAAAATTAAAAAAAAAGAATGGGATGTGGCTGAGTGTGCAGACCCTGAGTTCAGTCCCCAGCACCACCACCACCACACGCACACACAAAATCTAAGCCTTGGTTCTGTTCTTTCTCTCTGCACTCCTCAGGCAGGGTGGCTACTGGAAGGCCTGGCTGTTACCACATCTGGTCAGAAGCTGCTGAGTCACTGTGCTTAGACAGGAGATGTACGGAGAGAATCGTGTGCATCTGGCCGCCCGCCTTTAGGTAGGTCACGTCTTCCACCACCTTGCTCAGGTCAAACCAAGCTCTTTACAGCACAGGCTGGTCTTGGACTCATGGCAGTCTCCCTGCCTCAGCCTCCTGAGTGCTGAGATCACAGACATGCACCACCATGTGCAGTTTAGGACTCCATTCTTGGATGTAAGATTCCTTGACCCACCCTTGGGCATAGCCAGACAGCAGTACAATTACATCTCAGGCTGTTCACAGAGCTTTGGAGAGGTCTTTCATTCCTTGTATAAATACATCAGTGACTCAAGGGGTTGCTTTGATAATTATGTGGATTTTTGATAGAAAAACCTTGGCTGCCCGGTAGGATATGGTCTTCCTGAGGGACATTGTGTTGTCACCGTGTCCTGTGGTGTGACACAGATGTCACCACACTCGCTACAGACACAGCCTGTGCAGCCGCAGTGGAATTCCCAGGGCCCCTTCCGTTTGAGGTCACTGCGGCCCCCGCATGGAACGGCTTCTTGCTTTTCAGGGCAACCCACTCAAGTGTTCTCTAAGTCAGTACAGTCCTGGCTGAGCGGAGAGAATTCGAGGGTCACTTGGGATCTGTATAAATCAGTATTTCGATCCTATTAATGAGGTGCTAATTGCATTTGCAACCTTTTTAATGCAAATTAATCTCATTCTGTGGGCACTGCTGTGTGCCCAGCTTGGTACTCCAGCCTCTCAACTGCTGTCAAAGTAATTATCAGTGTTCCTGTTAGCAAGGAACATGGTTCACCCCTGCTCACAGCTACATGAAGGGTCTTGTGGGAGTTAACAAGGCTGTTCTAACACTGTTAGTCTTAGCTGAGTGTGGCAATTCCGGAACACAGTAGGCTGAGGCAGGAGGATCGCTGTGAGTTTGAGGCCAGTCCAGGGTATATAAAGAGACCCAGTATCCAAATGCAAATCAACAGACAAAATTAAAATGTCCTCCAAAGATAGGGACATTTACAAGGGGTTCTGCAGGTAACAGCTGGGTGCAAAGTGCTGATCTGGCAAGTGTACAAGCAGCTGTGAATTCAGCAGAGATGTGAACAGAGGCCTGGAGGCAAAGGCCAAGAGCCATGCGGGAAGAACACATCATTTGGAATATCAGAAGTCCCTCTTCAAGAGCCTCTGGTGACCCAAGAGGCTGGAGGCACTCACAGCAGTGCAGTGGAGCCAGGAGGGTGCTAGTCAGAGGCCACAGGAGCTGCGGCGGGTGGGGTAGGGGGGCGGGCAGCGGGTGGGGCCAGCGGGAGGCCCTCGAGCAGGAGGTCCTGGAGCAGACGGCCACTCTCCATCAGGGCACACTGTCCAGGGATGTTGGGCGAAGTGACGGGAACAGGGCACAGGAGTGGAACCTACAGCTCCTACAGTTGGGGTGTGCAGAGCTGGGACCTCTGGGAAGCTGTGGGAGGAATCCTGCCAGAGCTGGGAGAGAGGACAGAAGGACAAGGAGAGTTCAGGTGCTGGACTGTCCACCTCCACCTTCATCCCCGTGTTTATCTACAAGAGCTGGCTGTCCTGGGAGTGGGTCTCATTCCTTGGCATATCCAAGGGAATCTTCATGCTTTGCTGATTGACTTCCAGGGAAGGAGAAGCTCTTCCTCTTGTCACCATGTTGCTGGAGGGAGGAACTGGCTTCAGTTTGGGAAACTTCTCCGTGCAGGGCTGTCTTCTGGCCTGGGCAGACCCCAACCTCCTGGGCCAGGCAGGGTTAGGCAGTTCTCATCGTAGTGGGCTGGACTTCTGCCTGGGGCTGCCGCTAATTGACAATTAGAATAACAAAAGAAGGATGAGGTGGGCCTATTCTCCAGGGGCTTTTATGGATTAGTCATGGTGGGAAATATGTGGACACCAGGCCAAGTGTCCTTTGGAGTCCACTTGACCTCTACTTGATCAGCTTGTTAAAAATGGGCCTCAGTAGTGGAATTTCATGGCAGAACTGGTAGGATTTTGGGGGAACCCTGTGTTTAGCCACTGTCACCATCCCACAGCAGAGTCCTTCTGGGTCATTCTGACATCCTCCTACTAAGACACGGCCGTGCTTTTACCATGTGTGCCTTTTGTGGCATCTTGCACAGAGATGCCACATGAACCTTTTGCTGAAAATATCTTTCTAGGAAGATTCCTTTAGAGTGTATCTTTTCCACATGGCACAGAGTAAATGTGAAACCACTGAAACCATTTCCCAGCTATTTCAGACCAAGCGACTCATCGACACAGCACTGCCTTTGTGTTTGGAAGTCAATGTATCTTTGGCCTGAAGCGGTAGACGGCCGCCTTGTCCCAGTTCCAGCTCACTGGTCTTGCCTGGCGCGGCATAGGCTGCAGCCAGGATTGTGGAGGTGCTCAAAAGAGCAAGCAGAGCCCCTGATTAGACTCTGTTGTGGTTGAGATCCAGAAAGTCCCCTGCAGGCCTTCCCCAAGTGACTGGACCAGGGGGCGCTGTGCTCCAGAGTGACCCATGGGTGAGTTCAAGGCTGAATGTACCCGAGGTGTCTGGTTGGAGGTCGCTGGGGTGTCCCTGGCTCCGCTCTCCTCTCCCAGCTTCCTGGTTGCCATGGGGAGAACAGATTTCCTCCTCTCCATCCTTCAGCAATGATATTTTTGCCTCGGAACTGCTTACCATGGACTGAACCCTCTGCAAACTATGAGCCAGATAAACCTCTCCTGCTGTAATTTGTTGGTGTTGAGTATTTGTTCCTGTGAAGAAGAAAGTGACTCTGACATAAGCCAATAGTTCATTTTGGTATCTAGTTGCTGTCTGTCTGTTTGTGTCTCTGTCTCTGTCTGGATCAACAGCCCGCGAATATACTTTACACATACTGCTTGGCACAAAAACACCTTCCAGGCTCAGCTATTGAACTCTGCAGCTATTCTCACAAGAAGTGAGAAGATGTGTGCAGGTTTAAAAAAATCCCAGGCAGGCAGGCAGGCATCCTGGTGTGGAAAGAGACTCGAGAAATCCCTATTTTTCCCTACCAATGTCTTGTAATAATTAAATTCCATTTTTGAATGATCACAAGTTGGATCAGAGTGTGAATTTACCAACATGAAACCATTAATGCTTGGTGACTGTTTTCTCTGCTGGATGTAGGATGGAGCAGGAAGGGTGCCTGCCTCTAGGGAGCTGATAATTGATTAAAGATAGGAGACACAGGCAGGTCCAGATATGCAGAGATGATAGAGTGCACATGTACAAAGTGTGATCAAAATATATGGTGAATGTTTAAATTAAAAACAGTTGTTATGGTGAAGGGCATATTGCCATGGACCCCCCTCACGGGTCTTTATGAGGCATGAGCAAAGCCACAGTGACTTCTTCTGCCCACTGGTACTCAGGGTAAGTGTCAGGCTTGTAAAAATGCGTTGCTGTGTCCTTGTCTACCTCCTTCACTGGATCTGGCCCTGTTTGGCTTCTGGTTCTTCCCGAAGTCTAGTGACTGTGAAAGGAAGTCTTGGGAGGTCACAGAGTGTGACCCAGTGCCCTCTGCATCCAGTCATTAACTCTGACTTTGCTTGGCAGCACGAGGAGTTTTAGAGAATATTTAAAACACGGAAATGGTTTTGAATCATTTCATCAGAACATGAAAAGTTAGAGACAGGCTAAGGTGAAGGGGTGGATCAAATTTTGAAAGCGAAATGGAGCAGACACATGAAGCTAGGAAAGGATAAGGATTGATTTGTTTCCAATTAAAGTGAGATTTGGGGACTGCGACACAGGATTTTTTTTTTTGTTCCCATTTTTTTTTGGCAACATGTATTTGAAAAGTAACAATGGAGAAACCAAAGTGGAGAAGGATTGAGCCCAGCTGCCTGGCTGGCTCGGCAGTGAAAATCTCACAATGTATGGCAGCGCAGCCTTTTGGTCTGTGTCCATGCACTGTTCGAATTTGTGGGCCACACACTTTACGCTATGTATCGAGCATCTTGCCTGAGCCCACCTGCAGGCCTCCATGTCTTTTTCCTGTCACCTGTGCCACAGACGGGGTTGGATTTTGTCTTTCTAGGAAACATGTTGTTGGGAACAGTTAACATGCAGGGGACATCTGGTTGCCACGATGATGGCTCCCTATGCCACTGGGGAGGAGGTGGCAGCCGAAGGAGACCAGGCACAGGGGGCACAGTGCTGTGGGTTCTCGGATGGCTGGGAGATGCAGACGTATGTCCTAGGGTGTCTGCCTCTCACTGGTGTTAGACAGGGAGCGCTGCTGTCACAGGGCAGCAGGAGGGCAAGGGCACACACAAGGCCACTGCCTTAGCCATGTCCAGCAGCGGTCGTGAGGTGAAGGAGGAAAGGCTGATTTACTCACAGCCGCGGAGTTTCAGTCCATCACTGCCGGCTCCGGGACAGGATGGCCCAGAGAACAGGAAGCACAGGGAGACCCGGTCTCCAGCAAGCAGACAGGTAGGGGGAGCAAGGGCCACCCCAGCTGTTCTGCTCTAACCTCTCCCAGGCTCCCCAAGGTAGGCAGCACTCACACCCCGCTCCAGTGCCCTTGGGCCCTGCATTGTACCATGAATCCATCCCAGCATCACACATCCTAGATCCAGCCACCTCTGAAAAGCCCCTGACTGCAGGAGGCTTTGGGGGACATCTGAACACAGCCATAACAGCAAATGACTGTTTGATTTCTGAGAACCAAGAAACTCACATAGAAGTAAGAATGGGCACAGGGACCAACCTATTCATTCATTAATTCCTTCATTCCTTCATTCATTGATTCAATCCACAGAGCTCTCTTGAGAGCAAAGCCTGCACCCAACTCCTAGGAAGATGCTGACAGCCTCTAGGCCCTGGCCTGTCTCTGCCCACCAGAGATGCAAAGACACGGGGTGAAGTTGGAGTACCACAGGACATCATACACAAAGGGCGGGTGTGTGGATGCCAGGTCAGGGCCCCAGCAGTGGGGACCGTGGCTGGGAGAGGCTCTCTGGTCCAGGGAGGTTTAGTGTATCTAAAATGGACTCTTTTCATTCATCATTGACCATCTCAATGTGTG